TTCGCGGCGTTGAATTCCAAGGAATGGAGTTCTGGCATGGCTGAAGATCTTCAGACCGCTGTCCTCCAACGGGGCACTTCCGGTAGTGAAAAGAAACCCTTGTGGTGACCTGTGGAGAAGGAACGTGAAGGGTTTAGTGTACAGTGGTCCTCCTACTCTTCCTCCTCCTCCTCACACTCCTCCTCCTCACACTCTTCCTCAAAGTTCCCAAGACATGAATTGGAGAGTGCGTATCGTTTTCATGTTGTGATTACCGTCCGCGCGCCGCACTCATCACAGAAACTAGCGGCAGCTGCACGAACGAAAGGCGGCTCATGTTTGAATTAGGATCTCGAGTGAGACTCCTTGTAAAGATGTTACCCGAAGTTGGAGGGGAGGGGTCGCTTGGAAGTGGGAGATCGCCCAAAACGGATTACAGCTGGTATACGGGTGAGGGTGGCCAAGTGTCATAACGAGGTCCTCGCTTGGACAGCTCTGTGAAATTCATGGCCCTACGTTTGCGCTTAGTGCCAGATGTGGGTGTGGATGCGCTGCTTCCTTGTGTTGTAAAAAGAAGGACTCCACCTGAATGGCCATCACATGTGGATGAAGCAGTCTTCGTTCAAAGGGACGCTTCCCACAATGAAGAGGAATGCTGGCAGGGACCCGCTAGGACGGGAGGCGGTATTGCAGCACCGTTGATGCATACGAGGGTTACTCTCCTACTCCCCCCCGTTCCCTCCTCCTCCTCCTCCTCCTCCTCCTCCGCCTCCTCCTCTTCCCCATGGCGACGAGAAGCCCCCAAGAGGCAAACTAAGCACGAACAACGTCCCAACATAAAAGTCAAACCTCGATCCTCCTCCCTCCCTGCCTCCCTCCCTGCCTCCCTCCCTGCCTCCCTCCTCCCTGCCTCCCTACCTGCCGCTCCTCCTCCCTCCCTCCTCCCCTCCCTCCTCCTCCCTCCCTCCTCCTCCCTCCCTCCTCTTCCTCCTCCTCCTCCTCCTCCTCCTCCTCCTCCTCCTCCTCCATCCTCCCTGCTCCGCCCCCTCCTCCGCCTCCTCCTCCTCCGCCTCCTCCAGGGCGACCGACCCACGGACCACGGGCCTCCACTCCGGGTCGGAGCAGAAGGGCACGTAGGCCGTCTGGAGCCTGGAGCCGTCCCTGCCGGGCACCTCGGGGGGGGAGAGGGCGAAAGAGGGCCGGGAGAGGCGAGCAGGAGGACGAGGAAGAGCGCGGGGAGGGGGGAGAAGGGGGAAGGAGGCGGAGGAGAGCAAAAGGGGGACGGGACGGGATCGGAGCTCGGCTCGACAGGAGGAGGCGTCGTGCCCCGCGGGCGCCGTCGGAAGAAGGGAGGGAGGGAGGGAGGGAGGGAGGCGTGGAGCAAGGGGGAGGAGGGCGAGGAGGGGAAGACGGTGGAGGAGAGGAGTGGGGAGGGGGCCGACGGCGAGTACGCCCACGAGGAGGAGGAGAAGTGAGAGGAGCACGGGGAGGGGGAGGAGGGTGAGGAGGAGGAGGTGGAGGACGAGGAGGACGGGAGAGGTCGGAGGTGACAGGAGAAGGCAAGGGACGGGACGGCAACGACGACCCAAGACGATGAAAAAGAGAAGGAAGAGGAGGAAGAGGAGGAAGAGGGGGGGAGGAGAAAGGAAGAGGAGGGAAGGAGGAGGAGCGCGAAAGAGGAATAAGAAGATGGTGGAGAAAGTGGGGAAGACGAAAAAGATGGGCGGAAGGGGAGGACGAGGACGGGACGGCGAGAAGGAAATGAAGAGGAGTAAGGGGGGCAACAAGGAGGACGAGCAGCGGGCAGGAGGAAAGGAGACGGAGGGTGGAGGGGGAAGACAGGAGGCAAGCCCAGCACGTAGAACTGATGCTGTAGCACAGCAGGCACACACGATCAGAAATGCCGCTCTAGGAAATGAAGGGGCACGTGGTTCGACGATCTTGGACGGTCCTGAGGCGCCCAAGTGCCTCCGTGGGTACCTGGGGCAATCGGGGAAGCACAAGACTATGTGGGCGCCCGCTCGCAGACCGATGTCTTATCGAACGTGCCAGCTGCACTCCGTCGGCCCTGCTTGACCCTCCAGTCGGACCCAGGCCGGAAGGACATCCCTCAAGAACACGAGACCCTCCGTCGGCCAAAGCAGACAGAACGTCCAAGAATACCCTCCCAAGGATGCACGGCGACATCCGACAGACACAGAGAAAGACGGAGCACCCTCCCCGAACCGACCTCGATCTTACATCTCGGTCCGCCTCCAGGAGGATGAGGAGGAGGAGGAGGAGGAGAGGAGGAGGAGGAGGAGGAGGAGGAGGAGGAGGAGGAGGAGGGGAAGGAGGAGGAGAGGAGGAGGAGGAGGAGGAGGAGGAGCGAGGGAGCAGGAGGAGGAGGAGGAGGAGGGAGGCGGAGGAGGTCCTGCCCCCGAACCCACGCCGGCACACCCTACGCGTGCTCGGGGCGTCTCTCTCCGTGGAGCCCGCGGCCCCGACGCCCGCCGTCGGCCGATCGCGCCCCCGGCGGGCCCCCCGGAGATCTGCAGCGGAGCCGGCCGCCGAGCGGCGGGCACGGCCGCCTTCGGAGGACCACGGGGAGGAGGAGGAGGAGGAGGAGGAGGAGGAGGAGGAGGAGGACCCCACGCCTGGTGTGTGTTTTTTGCTTTGAGAAGGCGCGTCCAGGAGCTGCGAGTGAGAGGTGTGTCCTGCGGGAGAGAGGTGTGCTGGAGCAGTGCTGGAATCGTGGCTTCGCGCGCACGCACGGGCGCAAGTTTGCAGAGACGAGAACGCGAATTTCATAAAACGCAGAGCGGCTGATCTCTCTCTCTCTCTCTCTCGCGCGCTTTCTCTCTCTCTCTCTCTCTCTCGCTCTCTATTTATGTAGATGTGCGAGATAAAAAAGAAAGAACGAAAGAAAGAAATAAAGAAAGAGAAAGAGAGAAAGAGACAGAGAGAGAGAGAGCGCTGTGTCATGAAACAACGTATGAAACCAGAAATGCGGCGATGTGTAATTTTCGCCGAGGGAGCGCGTGGACTACATTCACAGGCGCTCCGAACACACAAATCGTCCTGGTGGGTGTGGGGGTGGGTTATCGTCTCTTGATTCGGGACTTGGAAAGGCAGGACAAGTCAGGCCCCCCCTGCCCCGCCAAGAGCACCACGACCAGAGAGGTGAGAACGCATCTGGCGGGACGGCTCGAAACAACGAGCCGATCACGGATCGACGCAAGTTTGGCTACATAACGCGGTAAAGCAAACTGCCAGGAGGACTCGGCGGAGCTGCTACTAGTGTCGGAGCAGCGCCAGCGGCTCGCGGCGATCCGTGGCGAAGACTTCCAGGGACCGTTCCGCGGCGGCCGAGAAGCAGCGCCAGCGGCTTGCTGTGATCCGCGTGAGGGACTGTGCCGCGCGAACCTAGCGGTGGGTACGGGTCGGGCGTGCTTGCGATGCCGCTTGCCCCCATCCCCTCCCCCTCCTCCTCATCCTTCCTCTCCCCCTCCTCCTCCTCAACCTCCTCCTCTCTCCTCCTCTTCCTCTCCTCCGTCCTCCTCATCCTCCCCCTCCTCCTCCTTCCTCCTCCTCCAGCCTCTCCTCCACCTCCTCATCCTCATCACCTCCTCTTCTCCTTTTCTCCTCTCCTCTCCTCTGCTCCTCCTCTTCCTCATCTTCCTCCTCCTCTCTTCCATCTTCCTCCCTCTGCTCCTCTCCTGCCTCCTCATGCTCCTCCTCCTCCTCTCCTCCTCCTCCTCCCCTCCTCCTCCTCCTGTTTCCTCTCTCCCCTCACCTCCTCCTCCTCCCCTCCTCCTCACCTCCTCCATCCCCATCCTTCCTCCCTCCTCCCTTCATCCTCCCTCTTCCTCCTCTCCTCCTTCTCTCCTCTCCCCCCCTACTCCCATCCTCGTCTAGAGGGGCATCCCGCCTCTAATCCTATCCTCCTCCTTCCTCCCCTCCCCCCCACCTCCTCTCCTCTCATCCTCTCCTCCTCCTCCTCCCTCCTCCTACTCCTCCATCCTCTACTCCTACTCCTCCTTTTCTCCTTTCTCCCTCCCCCTCCTGCCTCTCCCCTCCTCCCCTCCTCTCTCCTCCTCTTCCTCCTCCTCTCCCTCCTCCCTCCTCCCCCTCCTCCTTCTCCTCCTCCTCCTCCTTCTCCAACCTCAGACCCTCGGTTCCGAGAGCCGAATGGAAGTCCTGCCTGCTCCATCCGTGAGCGTGGAGCGAGGCCCGATGAGCAGCACGTGCTGCTCGACGTTCTATGTTTCGTGTGCTTGTCGCGCCCTGTTTCGCCGAGTACTACATGGTAGGGGACTCTGTCAGCAGCGATACCGGATTGATGCTGACCTGCTCCAGCCGCGTGAATGACGCGAGCTGTGATTGCAAATGCGTGAGGCGCTGAACAGACCTGAGGGGAGCCCGTCGGATGTGCGTTGTGGACTCTGCATCGGCGCGGGTGAGTGCCAAGTCAGGAGCTTAGGTGCCTGGCCTGGGGTGCGCCCGCGTCGTTGGGTGTAGCACGGCCCTCGGTGACTGAGACAGAGGAGGTCCTTCGGACGTACATTGTGCAACCTGCATCAGCAAGCGTGCATGTATCAATGCCTGGCCTGGGGTGCAATCGTGTCGCTTGGTGTAGCACGGCCCCTCGGGCGTGGCCAAAAAGTTTCAGAAAGGTGTGGGTCCCTCCTCCTGTCCCTCCTCCTCCTCCTCCTCCTCCTCCGCCTCCTCCTCGGCTCCCCCTCATCCACCTGACTCCTCCTCAATCCCTCCTCGCCCTCGTCGTCGTCGTTCTCGTCGTCGTCGTCGCCGCCGCCGCCGTCGTCGTCGACGTCGTCGTCCGTCCGTCCGTCCGTCCGTCCGTTCTGTCGTCCGCCGTCCGTCGTCCGTCGTCCGTCGTCGGTCGTCGGTCGTCCGTCTTCGGTCGTCGGTCGTCGGCCGTCGTGATCGTCGTCGTCGTCGTCGTCGTCGTCGCCGCCACCGCCGCCGCCATCTTCGGCGTACTCGCCAATGGCGACGACGACACCGTCGCCGCGGCGCGCCTCGCAGACGCAGTACGCAGAGGGCTGGTCCCCCGAGGCCGCGCTGAGGTCGAAGGCGCCCAGGATCCTCCGGGCGACACTCTGCGGCCCTCGGCGGCCTTCGGATGGCATCGGCAGCCTCCAGCGCGCACGACGACGACCGCCACCCTCACCTCGCCGCAGCCGCCGCAGACCACGACGGCGACCACGAGGACGACGCCCACCACGACGACGGCGGCGACGACCACGACGACGACGACGACGACCACAACGACTACGACGACCACAATAACTACATACGACGGCCACGACGACCACGACGACGACGACGACGGCAACAACCACGACGCCAGCGGCAGCGACGACGACGACGACCACGACGACCACGACCACGGTCACGGCCACGACGACGACGACGACGAGGAGGGCAGAGGGGGGTGGGGGAAAATTCTCGCGGGGAGGTCCCTGGAACAAAAAAAACATTACCCCAACAAAGCACCCTAATAGCAGCAGTAATGAAAGAAGAGGCTTGCCGAGGAGTAGTAGGTCGGCTAACTATAAGGGACAAGAGTGAGAGCACGGCTATTTGCACCGTAGCGTATATTCGAAGATAGATTGTGGCCGCCTGGGCCAAGAATGTAGCTGGTATTGAGGCGAGAGCGCGATACTATAATGCATCGCGCGGAAGTCTCAAGCGAAACGGCTGCCAGACCGCGCAATCTCGGTAGGCTGTCCCGGGCACCCCGCCCCAGGACGGGGAGCCCGGGATCGTCTGTGGGACTCACAAGAGGGTACCGCAGGGTGCCCCTTGTGGGACTCTTCTGCGGTCGCTTTTCATCTCGACTGGAACACCCTCTACCGAAACGGCATTGAGGAAATGTTGGCCTTCGGCTGGGATCGCTCCCCCATCCAGGATCAGCGTCGGATCGAATCGACATGTGCGTCGGATCGGGCTGCATCGGCACAAATCCTAGCGCCTGCACTCGCCTCGCACGGCCCTGGGGGGGGGAGGGGGAAGCCTTCCCCGGGAGCGGAGAGTGCGGACCAGACCCCTCTGCCCCGCAGCGCACGGCCTCTCCAACGCCAAGCGGGCAGACGCCGGTCGAGCTGCATGGGGGGGCACACCTCCCCCCCTCCCCCAGAGCGGAGCGGGCGGGCCAGCGATAGCACGCTGTCAGCATGGACCAGAGGAGGAGGCCCCATTGGGGCCAGCGAGCGCAGCTGGCCACGAGGGGCCGCAGCGGCGCCACTACGGTGCCAGCATCCCAAATTTGTGCCATTCTTCCACACGGCCCGCCCAGGCCCGCGCACCTTGGGGCACCGCTGGACTGACGGCAACGATCCCTCAAGATCTGAGGTCGCTCAGCCGCGTACAACGCGGGCGGAGTAGGTTTCAGGGAACGCGGAGTAGGTGTTCTGTTCTGCTGACAGAAGAAGCGGCGTAAGTTCAACCGGAACGCGGATTATGTCAAATCCACGTGGAAAGCGTGCAGGGCAAGTCCTTACGCCGAATTATACATACAGATATACTGCGCAGCAGCCCGCATATGCGAATAATAATGAAAGAGCGGTGGGGACGTCGGCAGTTTACGAGACTCTGGAGAAGCCCGCCGCAGGCGCCAATGTTTCACCAATTATACAACGAGCCCGCCGCAAGCGCCGATTTTTTCGTTAAACCAATGTGAATGGGTCGCGGGTGGGTCGCGGGTGGGTCGCGGGTGGATCGCGGGGTGGGTCGCGGGTGGGTCGGTGTTGGGTCTCGGGTGGGTCGCGGGGTGGTCGCGGGTGCAGGGGGCAGAAAATCCACCCCCGAATACTCACTCCGACAAGCGAAGCTGTTTAGTAAACGCACAGAAAGAATGAATCGAACAAGGCAGGGCTATTTAGTGAACGCCCACGGCCGTTTAATGAACGTCAATTGTCGGGTCCGGGTGGTTTTTCCTTCCTTGAAAGTGGGTCGCGGGGTGGGTCGCGGGTGGGTCGCGGGGTGGGTCGCGGGTGGGTCGCAGGTGTATCGCGGGGTGCGTCGCGGGGTTGGTCGCGGGTGGGTCGCGGGGTGGGTCGCGGGTGGGTCGCGGGTGGGTCGCGGGTGGGTCGCAGGGTGGGTCGCGGGTGGGTCGCGGGTTGGGTCGCGGGTGTATCGCGGGGTGCGTCGCGGGGTGCGTCGCGGGGTGGGTCGCTGGTGGGTCGCGGGGCGGGTTGCGGGTGGGTCGCGGGTGGGACGACGACAACAAAGAACAACAAGAAGAAGAATAATAACAACAACAACAAGAAGAATAATAAGAAAAAAAACAACAACAACCATTTTAAGCCGGTTCGTTCTTGCTGGCACGCGTGTCTTGCATTCCGTCTACCCCAACCCTCGAGACCCGCCTACTTCATTTTCGACTGCACCCCCTTTCGGGGGGAATCTCTTCTTTGTCGGCCACTGACTGAAGTGCGAAGAAGCCTTGAGCGAGAGCACCGTCCCTGAGTTCGGGGGCCTCTCTGGCCAAAAGCTCTCGGAATACTTATGGAGAAATATCGAACGGGAGCCCATGTCGCCGTGTCCGGGCCTCCACCAACTTGCCCGAATTACGGGGAAGTCTCGAGCGAGAGCGCAGTTCCTGAGCTCGGGGACCTTCTTGGCCAGGGGCTTTCGGAGTAAACCGTGAGGAAGTAGCGAGCAAAAGCCCTTGTGGTCGTGGTTGGGTCTCCGCCAACGCAAGTGAATTGCGAAGAAATCTCGAGCGAGAGCGCCATTCCTGACTTCGGGGGCCTCTCTGGCCAGGGTGTCTCGGGGTAAACTGTGAGGAAGTATCGAGCGGGAGCCGTTGTTGTCGTAGCTGGGCTTCCAAGGGCCCACATTTAGGGTGAAGCCTCGGTTTCTGCGAAAATGTAGCCGGCGTCGAGGCGAGAGCGCGGGCAACCGTTTTCCAATATCCAGAATAATTAATATGCCGAAGTGTGCATACAATAGCAGCAACAATAATAACAATAACAATCACAATCACAAGCGCAATCACAATAACAAGAGCAAACACAAGAACCATAACACAAGCAATAACAACAACAACAACAACAACAACAACAATCACTTTAACCGAACGCTCAGTGTTCTCACCAGTGCCAGGGTTTTCATGCGACGCCAGCCAATACCCCCACTTTGTGGGGGGGCAGTGCAAGCTCTACCAAATATCCACACGACTCTTCGCCACCACCCACACCAGCTTCCCGCCTATGACGTTCGGACACTTCACTTCGTGGCCTGCGGACGACCGTGGCTACTACACTGGCGTGGAGTACACACCCACAGAAGTTGTTAAGCCTACGTTCGTACACCCACAGAAGTTGTTAAGCCTTGTTAACCCACAGAAGTGTTAAGCCTTCACAGAACATCTGTTGCATATGATGCATATGGTACATGATACACATGATACACATGATACGTACTCACAAGATAGTTGATCACTCTTAGGGTCCTCTTGAGGGGCTTTGGGGGTTTCTTGGAAGCATCTTGGGGCCTCTTGGGGGCTTATTGGGTCCTCACGGCGGGCTCTTGGGGCCTCTTGAAGGCCTCCTGGGGCAACCTATGGCGCAACCAGTAGGGGGACGTTTTATTCTCGGCGGCCGAGGGCGCAACCTATGGCGCAACCAATAGGGGGACGTTTTATTCTCGGCGGCCGAGGGCGCAACCTATGGCGCAACCGCAAGGGATTGTGGCCCCTGGCAGGCGCGCGAACCCCGTTGCAAGAGCGTGCGAAAGTAGCTCGCGCGAGCTCATGTAACATAAATGTTGGAAAACCATTGGTTTTTAGGATTCGGACAGCGCGCGCGGGTAGAAATTTTGAAAAGTCGTGCAGGTGTTTTTCGAGGACCTACGGTGCGATTCGTGTGATTTTATGATGCGCGGTGCTAAAATTCTTAAGAAGCCCAATGGTTTTTGGAGATTTCGGCGTGCGCGCGCGAAGAAAAAACGAATGTGTCCCGCATGGTATTATTTGACAGGGATGATGGCCCTGGCAGGTGCGCAACCGTTGTCGCAGAAGTTCGAAAAAGTTGCTCGCAAAAGCCCGTTTGACAGAAATGTTTAAAAAGTGTTGGTTTTCCTACGAATCCGCAAGAGCGCGCGGGATGAGATTTTGACATTTTTTTGTTGAAAAACCATTGGTTTTTTGATGTTTTTATGTTAAAATCGTTCCGAACACTAAGCTTTTGGAAGGATTTCGTCTTGCGCGCGCGAATGTCCACTTTACCTTATTTTTTGCAAGGGATTCTTGAAATTTGATTATATTAGAACAAGAAATGTCATTTTATAGTGTTTTTTGCAAGGGAAAGCGGGGGGGAACAAAACAACCGGATCTTGATCACATCGAATTACCTGAGGCTTCCTCACGAAAATGATGAAAATGTAGCTGCGGCCTAGGCGCGGCGGGGGGGGCGTGCACCAGGGGTCCCAACAATAATTATTCTTTAGAATTAATAATGTTCAACAACAACAACAACAACAACAGCAGCAGCAGCAGCAACAACAACAACATTAACGCAGCCAGCATAATCCTCAACACAAATGCCTTATTCAGCCACGCGCCCAAAGACAATGAGTGACCGTTCGGCCCCCTCACTCTGATATAATCATACCGAGAAACGGGATAGGCGGAAGCCGAAGACTACTCCGCCGCAGACGGATGACATGTCGTAGCATTCTCACGGGGAGGGGGGGCCTCGTCGACGGGAATGGTCAAGATTTGACTACCGGCATTGCATGGGCCGAACGAAGCCCCAGCGGGCAGCGGGTCAAAACTCGAGACATGGAACGGCACTTATATTCCGCCCCAGCGCCAGCTGGGAGAAGCACAACACGGCGCCACACCGCATGACGCGAGCGAGAGGCGGACGCCGGTCGGCCAGCGCGCCGCCGACCAGCCGAGCGAGGGCGCCTCGCGGCCAGCCGCGCGGTCGTTCCCGACGCTGGCGGACTTGTGCCCAGCATTACTCGTGCGTGCGAAAAAAAAAGGGCCATCCTCGCGCGATGCTGTCGAGACCATGCACGGGGGCGCGACGCCCGAATGCTTCCCCGAGAAGTCCGCACGGGCGGCACTATAGTTT